CCCGCCGCGGCAGCCGCGGCCGCCGCGGCTGCGCCGTTGGGCGCGCCGGCTGCGGCGGCCGCGGCGAGCGCAGAGCTGACATGGATTTGCGCGGACCGCAGGAGCGGCATCAGCTGGGGCAACGGCAACCCCTGCAGCACTGGGCCACCGCCGCCGACTGCCACGCCCTTCGCGTGCGCGATAGCCGCGATCGCTCTCAGGTGCGCCACCGTCACGCGCCCCGTCATCGCCAGCAGGGCGGCGGCGCCGCCGGCCTGCAGGCGCGACCAGTTGCCGATGTCGGTCGCGAACTGGCCGGCCTCGACGAGCCAGCTGTGCAGCAGCCAGGGGCTGGTCGCGAGGCGCGACTTAAAGTGGTGGCGCTTGAGGTGCTGCGTGGAGTGCTCCATGCCGGTGGCGTACTGCACCAGCTGGTTCACGTAGTGCCTGGCGGTACCAAAACAGAGCGCAAACCGGGGTGCGGTGCGGAGGTTTGAAACAGTGGCAGATTGAACCGAGGCGCGGGCCAGCGGCGTCCCCAAGGTGGCACAGGCCGCTGCTGGCTGTGGGTGTGCCACGGAAGCGCGCTCGCATCGGCGCCGCCCCGTTTATCCCCAGCTGGCCGGTCCCGTCTGACGGCCTCTGCTGACAGCTTCTGTCGCCATCTCGATGCAGACGTCCTCCCTCGGCCCCCAGAACACCCACCCACCTGCAGTCGTTCTCGTGCAGGCGGTACTGCTTGGCGCGCCCGCTGTTGTACAGCCTTACATCATCGAGGCTCAGGTTGGTGCGGCCCACGTACATGTGCGCAGCAGGCAGGCCGTCCAAAACGCGCTCCCGGATCTCGCCGCTGGACTTGGGCCTGAATATATGTATCATGAGGGTGCGGCAGTGGGGGCCAGGCGGATTGAGACCGTGGCATTGAGTTTAGGGTTGAGTGGGGAACCTGGCCCTGCTTAGGGCCAAAGGCTGGAGGTACAATTGGGGATGTCATACGATGGTTCTCAACCCCAGGCACACACCCGGCAGACGGGGTGTTCGCGGCCCCCACCCAGGATCGCCGAGTGACGCGGCTGGCGCTGGAGTCCTAGACGCGCCACGTCGGCACGGATGCCGACCAACCCCCAGGTGAGGCTCCCAGGTGAGGTGTCTCACGCCAACCTGCCCTCTCACCTGCAGTCGTCCAGGTCGCCCGCGCCGCAGCACCCATCGCCGCGGCCCCCCTCCGCCGCTGCCAGCGCCGCGCACAGCTCCAGCGCAGGCGCGCTCGGGCTCTGCCGCATGCCGCCGCCGCCGGCCTGCTGCTGCCGCTGCTGCTGCTGCTGCTGCTGCTGCTGCCGCGCCCGCCGCAGCCAGGCGCCGACGGGGCCGTTGACCTTTTCAACGTCCCCGCCGTGCGGCCCGAAATCGAACTGGACGTACTTGCCCTCCGGCGTCCTGAACACCGTCATGTAATGGCAGAGCCCCAGGTCCACCAGGGACAGCCGCATCTCCGGGCTCATCTTCTTCACCAGCGGCCCCGCAAACTCGGTGAAGGCGCGGGACACGACGTACACCTCGAGCCCGCCCTCAAGGCAGCTGCAAGGCTGCGCGCCGGCCGCCGCCGTCGCGCATGCACATGCACGGCGCGGGGGGGCGGCGGCCGCACTGCTCGCGCATGCGGCGCGGAGCGCGGGGGCCGAGGCGATGCGGCGCATGCGGGCTGGTGCGTCGGCGGCATCAGAGGCCCAGCTTCCGGCCACCTGCTGCTGGTCCAGGTGGTGCACGGAAGGCGCGCCAGCAGCGATCGCCCCTTCTGGCATCGCCACTTTGCCCGCTGCGCTTAGCAGCAACAAGCGAGCGGCGCCCAGCTGGCCGGGCCTGTGGCGGGATGCGGGCGGAAAGAGACGCGCGGAACTCGTGCAGCGCCCGATCAACACCAGGGCGTGCAGAGTCCACTGGAGCACATGCCAACGTGCCCAAGAAGGCGCCTCTGATCCAGGAAAGGCACCAAGCGGTGCCCGCTTGGCGCGGACAGCCGAGCGTTGCTGATGGCAAACGGCTTCCGGGTTGAACCACGGTTCAAAAATGAATCACTGCCTTTACGCCGACAAACAAAAACCTACTAGGCTCTGCTGGATGGCCCCGGGGCACAGCTGCGTTGTGGAGACCGAAACTTCAGAACCGGAAGGGGACTGCAGTATACGGTATGCACCCACCTGAATTCAAAACTTATCTAGGTTTCGTACCCACAGCGCCCTAGTGTCCTGCCTGTGACAGCCGAAGCAGATACCGTCGAAGGGGCTGGTCGCCGCTTGTCGAGTGAACTAAAAGCATACTAATAACCTTTAGACTTGCGTTATGCGCCAATCAATACCAGTGAGGGGCGACTGCCATGCGGAGGACGAAGGGGTTTGATGGATTGATGCCATTGAAGTGACAGCACGAGCAGGTGCCCGCAACCGACCACTGCGGCCCCACAACACTTCTGATATCAAAACTTGATGCAGCGCATACTGTACGGTGTACGGTGTTTGATTCAGCCAGTACATCACCTGCCAGCCATGCTGAACAGCACTGCTTGTCAATGCTCTGCATTGCCAGTCAAACTGACGTTGGAAACACCGAAGCACTTGCTGGAGGCACAATTTGAGGGCAATTTAGAACGGTCTGCTGAACAGTTAGGCAGTACAACTACTCACTCTAATTGGATGCATGGAAAAGGGCTCCGCAGGGTGGCCCGGCTGAGGGTTGTACTTTACACCTCATGTACGCCAGGGGATGGGATAAGGTGCACCACTTCTGATCCTGCACAACCACTCCGTGTCGTGACAGGCTCGGACGGAACATACACCAGCACTACAGGTGTATTTACGGCAAACACTTGTCATGATATCAATATGCACTCGAACGACGATGATGCGGGTCTTGATGAGTGCTGGCCGACGCGCCTCCCGTCCTTCCAGCGTCCCTTGCTTGGCTTGTGCGGCTACAGTACTATGCCTCGCCCTCCCTTGACTGCAACGCTCAGTCCCGCTGTTGCCTTGCGCCTGTCAATTCGCTGCTGTTTCATCTGGCTCCTCGTGCTGCTGCTCCTGCTGCTTCTGCTGCTACTCCTGCTGCTGCTCTTGCTGAACCCAGCAGCAGTGCTGCTGCTGCTGCTCTGCTGCTGATGAGGCTGCTGCTGCTGCGGATGATGATGATGATAATGATGATGATGATAGTGATAATGTTGAAGATAATGCCCTTCCTCCTTTGCCTGCACAAATTCCTTTATGCTGTGCTGGTGCTGCCCTGGACCATGGAGCCCCACGCACGTCATTACACAGACTCCAATTCCCGCCGCCACCCCTGCTCTCGTCCATTCCTTGGAACCCGCCCCCGGTCAGGGATTATCTCATCAGCGCACAGCGCCTTGCATGCAGTAGCCTCCGGCAGCCGCCTGAGAGCGCCCGCTGCACGAACAACCAGCTCTGCGTGGCGTGGGGTGACACTTGACAACGCAAAAATTGACGATTCTTGGGACGAGACGCTCTCCTCTGCCGCGCGCCGGCGCGCACGCTGGCGCTCCAGCAGCCGCAGCAGCCGCGCCGCCAGCGCGCCGTCTGCGCGCGCGGGCAGCGGCTCGCCGGCGTCCTCCGCGGCGCGGCGCAGCGCGACGGCTGCGGCCGCGCAGCCGTCAGGCCCAAACGCCAGGCGCAGGGGCGCCCCGGCCACACCGGCCTGCCCCTCGGCCGCCCCTTCGGCGCCGCCGCCGCCGGGCGCTTCTGCGGCCCCCAGGCGCGCGCCTGCGTCGCGCAGCGCCCACACGATCGCCACCGCGTCCGCCACTGACGGGTCAGCACAGCTGGTGGCGAGCATGGCCAGGGGCGTGCGGCCGCCGGCGCCCGCGGCAGCGATGTCGGGGCGCGCACCGGCCTCCAGCAGCGCCACAACCGCGTCGCGCGAGAAGCGCCGCGCGGCGTAATGCAGGGCGGTCAGGCCGTACTGGTTGGCCGCGTTGCAGTCCGCGCCGGCCAGGAGCAGGAGGCGCACCATGGGACCGCCGCCGCCGGCGCCGCGGCCGGCGGCAGCGTTCATGAGAGGGGTTGATCCACGCGCGTCCGCGGCGTCAGGATCCGCGCCGAGGCGAAGAAGGGCTTCCGCGCAGCCGACATGGCCGGCCCTCGCGGCGAGGTGCAGGGCCGTGGCGCCAGAGTGCGCGGTGCGCGCGTCCACGCCAATGGCACGAGCTTCTGGGCCAGAGGCCGTCGTTCCCGCACCATCGCGCCGCCGCTCCCTCAAGATGGCCCAAATGATTGCTTCATGGCCCCTTGCTGCCGCCAAGTGCGTGGCACTCCAGCCCTTCGCATCACATACGCCGGCCAGGTCGGCGCCGCCGGAGCGCTCCAAGAGATACGCCGCGGCAGCTGCGTCGCCCGAGCACGCCGCCTGCAGGAGGAGCGCAGCCTCGTTTGCAGGCTGCTGCTGATGCTCCTGATGAATTGGCAGCTGTACATGCTCCTGTACAAGAGGTGCGCACGAGGAAAGTGTTTCCACAGGGCGCGATCTGCACAGCAATGCACCGCCTGCAGGACGGCCGGACCGCTGCTTTTGCACGCAATCGCCCCTGAAAGCGCCGCAGCTGACACGGCGCCTCACCATTGAAATAAACGGACTTTTAAATCACTTGTGAGCCTTCGCGTGCTGTTCATGCGCCCGAAGGCCAGGAGTTCACAGTTGACACTCGCCCTCTTCCAAGCAGCATACCGGTGTTGTAGGAGCCAGGCTCGACATGAGTTGTGGATATGAATATCGCATACTGATGAATGACGCCATCTAGAACCACACGACTCGACGCTTGGCGGTCCGTTATGATCGGGGTGTGCGAGTTCTCCGCGTGCCCCAAGTTCCTGCTTCCTGCTCACCGTCCCCTCATCATCATAGTGTCAAGATCACAGGGTGGCGTGATGTCCAATGTGGCACTTTTGGTCAGCATCCAAGTCCAACAAGTCATTGGCAGCCAGCCAAACGCAGCATCAGGAACAAAGAAGCGCGGGTGCAGCACTGTCAGAGCGAGCAACACAGTGAATCGTAGTACTATCATAAATCACATACTATACCATGAAGCTGGGGCCCTCTGCAGTCTGCGGAGCCGTGGCGCCTCCGCTGCTGCTTCTGCTGCTCACAGTGCTGGTCCTGCTGCTGGCCCCACCCGCATGGGCAGGCCCCGGCGCCCGTGGCTTGCTGCAGAAGGGCGGCCCCATGACTCCGTCAATTGTTGGCGGGGCCTCGGCGCCTGCAAGCAGGTGGGTCTGCTGCCCCTGGGCACCATCAAAACCGCAGTTCACACCTGACCCCCAACATCGAGCGTGCACAGGACCGACTTCACGACTCGCTGCTGCCCCGCGATCGCCGCTTGATGGCGCGTCATGCACGCGACCGCTGAACTCACAGGCTTATGTATCAGCTGTGGCTGAAAACCAAGCAAGGGGTGTGCGGCGCTGCGCTGATTCGCGAGGACGTGGCTATCACTGCAGCACACGTGAGTCCGCGTATTTTTTGGGGGGGGGGGGTGTTGACCGTTTGTGCAAGCGGGTGCAGCTGCACAACTGCAGGCGACCCGCTCCAAGAGATGAAGGAATAGCCAGGCGCAGAGCGAGCCTCGCAGCTTGCTTGGCGGGGTGCAGATTGACGCTGCGGCCGGCGGCAGACAAGCAGCCGCGACTCGCGGGGGCCTCGCCCCGCACGCACCCGGCTCCCTGGCCTACCGCCGCCGGCGCCCTCAGCTACCGCACGTCGGTGCCTTGCGCGGTCAAAACCCCGCCCCACGCGCAGTGCCGGCCCTCTACATCAAGATCCACTCAACTGTGGGCAGGTGAGCCAGGGCCCGCGCGCCACAGCAACCTCGCGCTGACAGGCTGACAGGCGCCTTTGAAAGCCCTCCAGACCCTGATTTGCCACCCCTATTCTGTCTCACCTGCCCCCTACCGCGTCGGCCCTCGTGCTCGATCGGGGCCCATCCGTGCCACACAAACGCGAACAGCCTTCACGCTCATGCTGAAAACGCACCCTCACGCCGCGACGCGCCTGTCCTGCGCCCGCATGCCTGCCGGGCCCCCAGGCGCCTACACAGCACCGGACCGCCCTGGCACAGAGGGCAAGCAGGTGCCACTGCTCAAGACCCTGTCCCACCCGGACTACAACTTTGCGCTCAACGATTACGACCTCGCCCTCGTATTCCTCAAAACCTGCGCCGCGAGTGTGGCGCCCGCCGCCAGGCCCGTGCAGCTGGCCACCCGAGACGGTGAGGCTCGCGTAGAGGCACAGGGGAACTGAAGGGGATGGCGGCTGCTGCAATTGCAAGGATATTGAGATTGGGGAGAACCAGGCCATCCGCGAAATGCTGCGGCACAACCAGCCCATCAGGCGCACTCACCTGGGGAACGGGCTGGCCCCTCTCTTATGCTGCCCCTGACTCAAACGCCCCAACGAACCCACCCACCCGCTGGGGCCGCGGCGCCGCCCCCTCTCCACAGACCTGGCTGCATATGGGAGCGGCTCCACCTGGCTTTTCTCTGGTTGGGGCTCGACCTCTAGCGGGGCCGACAACGTGGGCATCGGCGGCGCATCTGCGACTGTGCTGCAGTACGGCCTGGGCAAGTACGTCAGCCCTGGGGCCTGCCAGGCGCGGTACGCGCCGGAGCCCATCAACGGTTCCACCATGATCTGGTGAGCTAGACACTGTTAGTTTTGGGACCACTCGCAACGGCGGGATCGGGTGGGTCTTCAGGCGGTTCGGGACCACGACAGGGCAACAGGGAGGTGGATCCGGAGGGATAAACAGCTTCGGTCACAATCACGGGTCTGCATCGGGCCTGGCAGGTCCAGGTGGATGCGCTCTCCTCTCCACCTGTTGGCCGGAGCTTGCTACTGACTGGCTGACGGCGCGCCTGATTCTCACCTGGTGCCCTTTTCGCGCACGGCAGTGCGCAAGGGCTGGCCGCAGTCAATGGAGCGGTACCCAACCAGGACACCTGCCTCGGTGAGCGCGGACATGCAGCCAGCGCTGCACTGCGCTGGCGCAACTGCTGACTGCGTTTCGTCAGGGGCACGCCGCCAGATGGGCTTGAGGACGTGAATTCGGATGCTTGCAAATGGCTACATGCCCGCCTGCATGGACTTGTACACATATGCACGTGCATTGTGCAAACGCACAACACATACACACACATGCAACTATACCTAGGTTTATGTACATACACATGCATAAAAATGGTCACACACAAACCCGCGTTGCGCCTTGGCTGCATTCAACAGGCGACAGCGGCGGCCCGCTAACCTTCAACGTGGGCAGCCCAGCGGACCCCCTGGCCGGTGACCCCTCAAACGACCGCCTCGTTGGGATCACATCATTTGGGTGGGCGCGACTTGTGGCGGGTGCAGCATGCTGGAAGTTGCTTGTTGGGCGTGTTGGGTCTTCAGATTCGGGCTTGCTGAAGCGCAAGCGCAACTTCCGCAGTGTTGGCGGGCCCCGTACCTGCTGTTTTGGCCGCATATCTGCTGCAGGGTGCGAGGCTGTACTCATGCCCTCCGTCCGCACCTACCCCGCCCCGAGGACCAGGGCTTTGTCCAATGATGGCACCACCTAGACACCTAACAGCCCGGCTCACGTGCTGCGTTTGGTTGCTTGCCCTTGTGCACCCACTCTCGTCGCTTGATCCGCAGGCCTGCAGGGTGCGGCCAGGAAGCATCACCAGGGGTGTACACCAGCATTCCCTACTGGCACGACTGGATCACCGCGCAGGTGGACACGGTGAGCAAGGCGGGTGGGGCGACGAGGGATGGAAGCGAGGTGTTTGGAAGAAGCTCCGTCGCACAGCATGCCGGACAGATGCATGCTGTCAGGGTGGACGCACGGCGGGGGCTCGCGTGCGCGACTTTTTTAAGGTGACGGCAAACGCGCGATAAATTGGCAAGTACAATGCTCCTGCCTGCATTGGTCGCGGTGGCTGCGGCCGGCTTGCTTGGGTGTCGAGTTCGACAGGCGGGCCTGCGCTTCCTGATACCTCAGCAGCGCTGCCAAATTAACGTCCTGCCGCATCCTCATCGTCCGTGCATGCCCCCCCCCATGTTCTTCCTTCTTTCGCCCGTGCAGCTCAACCTGTGCTGTTGTGCACCGCTGCGCCCTCCCGCTCCACGCCCAGGTCAAGAAGCCCTGCGGCCCCAGCCCGACGCTCGCGTTTGTCCAGGAGTCGAGCTCGGCCAGCTGGTATGCCAAGCCCTCCAGGTCCGCCAAACTCAAGGCCGGCCAGGGCCTGCCGGAATGCCAGGCACTCTGCAACAAGTATGCCGCGGGCAGCAAGGGCTGCGCGGCGCTGGGCATGAGCGTCAACGTGGGGAAGAAATCAAACACGACGTACTGCGACGTCTACTACAAATGGGTGCCCCAGCGGCTGTGCGCCGCCGCCGCGGACGCAAAGAAATTCAAGTGTGGCAGGCCGTCGCTCGGGTCTTGGAGGAGCAGATGGGTCTACACGTGACCTGCTTGCACTGCTCGGCGGCCCCGCTTAGTCGTGGGAGCTCGCTCCCCCGTGAGGCACGCAGCGTGAGGCACGAAGCCCATCCGGTTGCGGCGGTTGTGTGCTCAGCAGACAACAATAAAAAGTTCAGTATTGGTTGGCGCTCTGGCCGCCAAGTGCGCGCGGTGGGCCCGGCGTCTGGGTTGCTGGCGCAAAGACGGCCTGGTGCTGGGCGTCCCCAGCAGGGCTGCAGGGCTTGGTATCCCCCACCTTCCGACCAACCTGCAGAACCCCACTTCAACATATGAGGCGCGTCCCCTTCCCAAATCTTGGCCTTGTGCATGCCCACTGCACAGCGCTCCTCAATTGGTGAAGATCATTGAACCTTGCACCTTCCATGCAGCCACCCCATCATGAGCCAATGGCTCAACGCCAACCAGCCGTGGGGTGTGTGTGCAAGAACGACGCCAATACTGCTACTTTGGTGCTGAACCAGTTGTGATGAACAGTGCAATATGGGGCCGCACCCGCCCCACCGTCTCCAGATTGAGCGCACACATGCCAGGCTGCATGGCAATAATACACACAGGCACAATCATCTTGTCTCCAGGGGCCGATGGCGCCGAGTGCTGGAGCTCGCACTCGATGGGCGGGCCCTTTGCCGACCTCTCCCGGCCCTGGCATGTCTTTGACGCCATCATGGTGCGAGCCACGGCCAGCGCGCTTTATTGGTCCAGGACCTCTACGACACTGTATCTTGACCCCCCAGATTGTGACTGTGAACGGCCAGTTTGTGCCGGCGCAGCGGGGTTGCGGCAGGGCTTGCCGCTGCAGGCTGCGGCTGCAAATCTGTGCAGACCACTGTGTGCATGTTGACCCGCTTTGCCTGCATGAGGTTATTTATTAGATCATCCAACCTGCCAATTAGAGTCCATGCACAAGTGGACTTGGTCTCTGACACTGGCGTGGCATTCGGTCAGTGCCAGTGCTCTTCCCCTTGAAGGCAAGGGCAACAGGAGCTCCATTTGCACGCGGCTGTGGTTGCAACGCAGCGGTAGTTTGCTGGCCCCACGACCCCGCCAACACCTGATGTAAGCGTGGCAGCCACCAGTGGAGTGTGCGGCGCGACAGGGCAAAAGGGCTTGCTTGTTACACTGACCCAGCATGGACTGTGACAGAGACAGCAGACGAGCAAGAACGTTGTGCACGACGGGCGCCTGTGCACTATGGGCTCCGGGCGGGCTGGCGGCCCTGACAGATGCACGCGTGTTCAATCCAACACTTGATCGGCCTAGTTGAGCGTCCAGCTTCCCGTCTGGGGGCGGCTGCAAGTGTCATTCTACCTGTCTCAGGCTAGCTGCTCTGGGCCCAGAGCGGGGTGCGCGGCTGCTGCGTGCTTTGGCGTGGCCCTGCTGCCCCCGGTCTCCTCCCCAAAGGCTGATTGGCAGAAGAGTAATCATACACTGACTTACACGCGCAGGACGAACATTACAGAGATGCAGGGAAGAGCAGGCCGAGCAACTGCTCTTGCAAGAGCAGTTGCCGGCCCGGCCTGAAGGGCGATGAGGTCTGGGCGGAAGGCGGAAGGTCAGGCGGCGGCTCACTCGGAGCTGGCTGCGCGCCGGAGCTGGTTGCGCGTGACAAGAAGGCCCTGCTGCTCGGCAACTTGGTACATAATAGCAAGAGCTTACAAGGCCATCGTCAGCAAACCCACCTGCAGGCAACCTTGGTTGTGCATTCCGGACAGAGTGCCGCTTTGGAGTCACGGTGACGACAGCTTTGTGGCCCTGCGTGGAAATGCAGCCAGTGCTTCGGATGGCGGTGGCAAACACCAGCAGGGGAAATAAATGGCCACACAGATTTTCACCAAAGCAGCGGAGCTGCAGGCCTCTGCAGGCCGTGGTGGCCCTGCTCAGCATGGCCCTGTCCGAGGTGACGAGATCGCAGCCAGCAGCACAGATGTTTCCAACAAATTCGATCACACACCTGCAATTTGAGGTGCGAAACCTTTTCACCATGATCATAAACTATTTTTAACCACTGCTAGCCTCGTCGTGTGTAGGCGCGTGCTAGGCAATCAGGAGTAATGTTTGCGCGGGTCGCCGCCTCCCCGCCGCCAGGTCTGTCACGTCACCTGCCCGCCAGCCGAGCCGCCGCTGCCTGCCATCACCCGCCCTGCAACCAGGTGTCAACTGTCGGCTGAAACTCCAGAAATTTTTATGATGACAAAAAACACGTGGCCACGTCGGTAAACTGGCCCGGCATGATGATGTTGGCACTCGGTACGAGGGGACCGGCCACGGAAACACCGTGGAACAGGTAGAACGTAACCAGTCCGTTCAGCACGAAACCCCACAGCACATGCGATTCGAATTTGCGATAACGTCTCGCACGATTGCAGCCTGCACGCGTTACTGAGTTACGAGGTGTTTGACCTCTGCAGCCGGGTTACACCCCCTTCGCGCAGCCAACATGAGGCAAGCTGGCTTCCAAGCGATGCCAGCCGTGGTGTTTCTGCTTGGGGCAGTGGCAGCCCTGGCTGCGCTTGCAGTCCCCAGCGAGGGTGTCAGCGTGACCCCCTCCATCGTGGGCGGTGCCACGGCTCCCCAGGCCAGGTGCGCCTCCGTGCATGTGGACCACCCGGGCCTTGCCAGCGTTTGATACATCTAGCAGGCGACTGCCGCCTGTTCTGTAGCGCTTTGCACATGGCCGGGCCAGCTACCCTCACCGTGTTGGTCGTTGACTAATCGCAAGCCAATCATTTGGCACGCCCGACGCACACCTATCAACCCTGACCCGCCTGCTTCCTGAAGATGATATACACGCCTTGCCACATCTGAATGCCACCTATCGCGTCTGAATACTTTTTCCCAACCAGCTGCACCCGTCCTGCGACGTTGACAATGCTGCAATCATGCCTTGACACTAACACCCACGCCGTCAAATCCCCACATGACCCAGGTTCCTTTACCAGCTCGGGGTCAAGGTCGGCAAGTCGGGCGCATGCGGCGCGTCCCTGATCCGTGAGGATGTGGCGCTCTCTGCCGCGCACGTGAGCGTACAGGGCGCACGTGGGGCACGCCGAGCACCGGCAGGGCCCTGCTGGGTGCGACTGGCAGGGCAGGGCTGCGTGCTTGCCGGGTGGGGCGCTCTGGCTGGGTGCGTGGGCGGTGCAGTATTGCTGCTGGCGGGTCGTGCGGCTCCACCTATCAGCTGACATGGCTTTTCTCATGCACTCCCTCATATGCGTGCCTGCCACAGTGCACCATCAAGGCCTCAAAGAAGTACCAGATCTACGCAGGTGCGCATGCAACACAGACTGTCTTCCAGTCTGCTGGAGATTCGGTGCTGCACCTCGTGTCTGTGCCCCAATTTCCGGCACCTGCCACAACTCTCTTCCAGCCCCGCCACCCCCAGTGAAGTCTACTTCACACACGGGTCAACATCCATGCAATCAACATCAAGGATCCCAATTACGACTCTGCCTCTGACAACCCGGCCCGCACCCCTCAACCCGCCACACTGCACCCAGGCGCCTACACCAACTACGACAACGCCAACACTGAGGGCTCACCATTTGCCATCTCCAAGGTCCTCAACCACCCGTAGGTTCAGACACCAAACCCCACACAGCTTTGCAACCATGCCTTGGTGTGCCGCGTGCAAACCACGTGTCGCGCAAGGAATTTGGCGGAGGGGGGAGGTGGCCTTGATTGGGGGATTGAGCAAGTGGGTCTCGCACTACTCATGCTGATGTATTGCCACCTGCTGGTGTTGCTGCTGCTGCTGCAGTGTGCGCAGTCACCTAGCAATGCTGCACTCTTTTGAACAGCCCTGCCGCCTCCTCCTTGCGCGCAGCTTGTATGGCAAGGTAAAGGCCAACGGCGAGGAGGAGTACAACAACGATGTGGCGATCGTCTTCCTGACGCAGTGTGTGACTCCAGGGACGCCCAACGTCCAGGTGGTCAAGCTCGCCACGGCTGCAGGTGGGCACCATCACGACTTGAGAACATTGAGGCGGACATGCTCGGCGGGCACGCATGCATAGGGACAATGATGAGCTCGGGCGGCCAACTCAAGCCCCACAGCTGGGTGCCCGTGTCTGCACCTCAAGGCAGACGCCATGGACTCTATGAGACGCTCTGCTAAGTGGTGGTCGTTGTGCTGCCCTCACCACGCACTCCTTGCTCACCCGCTGTGTCGCAGAGTTTGCCGCTGCCAACGCGTCGACCTGGGTGGTTTCTGGCTGGTGAGCAGGGCCGAGGATGGTGAGGCAGGATTGGGGTAAAGCAACGCGTCCCGCACAGCAGCAATAGAGGGTGCGGATAGACGACATTGGGTCGACCGAGCTGACACGGGCGGGCAGATGTGCACTGCAGGGCAGCGCTTTGTCAACTCTCTCCGCAGATCTTAGCTGGAGCTGTACCCCAAACCTTCACCTTTTTTGCCCTTGAAGCATTTTTTTGGGGGGGGGGGCATAAGCACGCAGCGGTTTGTCCAATGTCGAAGTGGTCCGCCCCACCGAGTGACCGCTGCCCTCGTCCCGCCTGCACAGGGGCACTACCTCTCAAGGCGCGGACGCGGAGGGGCAAGAGGGTGCCACCCCTGAGAAGCTGCAGTACGCGCTGTTGAAGTACAACCCCACCTGCGCCGACTCGCAGAACGACCCCACAAACATCTGGTGAGCACGCATGGGTCATCCGCGCTCTTTTGGTTTGAATCAAGCAAGCAGTGATCGTATACCAGTCAGTATTGCCGCCAGGAAAGTGCTCCGCGCTGTGCGCAGCCTTCACCCGCTACAGGGACATATGCCCTCCAGACTCACGCATACTCCAAGCGCTTTCAGAAGCTGGTCGCGTGACCAAGCTCTTGCCACGGAAAGGAGTGCTGTTTTCATGTCCCTGGGCGCAGTGGGGCGCTGCGTTGTTTCTCACCCCTGGCCCACTCTTGCGTGCGCTCGTACTCTCCTGCATGCGCTAACAAAATACCTCACGATGCCCGTGTCTCCGCAGCACAACGGGGCTGCCCAAGGTGGATGGCGGCAGCGTGCCCGTCCAGGACTCCTGCCAGGGTAGGTGTCGCGGCGGGCCAGCCTGCTGCCACGCACCTAGCTTCCTTCGCTTCCTTTGCTGACCTGCACCCCAGGCAATGACATGCAGGAAGGCCATGCATCAGGAGCCCTCGCGGCCACGCGACGCGCCTCGACCGCCCTGCTCTCTCTGTGCCCGTTGCGTTGCAGGCGACAGCGGCGGCCCGCTGACCTTCAACGTCAAGAACGCCGCCAACCCCCTGGCTGGCACTGCCGCGGACGACCGCCTTGTTGGCGTTGTCTCGTACGGGTGAGAGCGCGTGTTTTGCTGCGCTGAAATGAACCCGGCCTCGCAACAACGGGCACATTGCTCGTGCAAGGAGGGATGGAGCATCGGCCCTCAAGGTGTTGGTGGGTTCGAGGGTGGCGCAGCTCTCGACACCTTTGGACGTTCTGCGGCCACCGCGCTCGCTCAACCTCGCTGCCCCTCCTCGCACGGCGCCCTCGCAGGAATGGATGCGGTCAAGCCGGCAACCCTGGCGTCTACGCGTCGGTTCCTTTCTACCTGGAGTACATCGGCTGGCAGCTGGACGCGGTGGGTTGCGCTTTCGGCTGACGACAGTTGGATGGCGCTTGATTGGTACAAGGAAAATGAGTCGCCGTGACAGACACAATCGATTGTAGCATTATTGACTGCTGCGCTTGTTGATTTTACATTTGTCAATGGACTTGCAGCAATGTATTCCTGGAAGCCAATCATATTCCAAGTAGGGCACGCTGCAAGGGCAGGTGTCAGGCGCAGCTGGGCTTTTGCACTGGCGGCGCAGTACAGGCTGCCCCTCCCACCATCACAGCTCCCAGCATCACCTTGTAAGCCTGTGCGGCTGCTGCTCACCTGAACCCGCTCACGCCTTCAAACATCATCATCAATATGTTGATGGCTGTCATGTGCATGCAGGTGAAGAAGGCTTGTGTTGCCACGGCCGACCTGACATTCGTCCAGGTCTCAAACACCAGCAGCTGGTTCGCCAAGCCCTCCAAGTCCACAAAGCTCAAGGCCGGCCAGGGCTTCACCGAATGCCAGGCCGCCTGCGCCGCCGCGGCCAACACGAAGAAGGGGTGTGCCGCATTCAGCCTGAACGTGAAGCCGGGCAGGAACGCGGACACCACCTTCTGCGATCTGCACGCCCCCTTTGTCCCCGTGAGGCTGTGCACCACCGGAGACGAGCGCAAGTTCAGCTGCGCACGCACCCCCATCGGCTCCTGGAGGGCTAAGTACGTCTACACCTCCTAGGCATGCGTCATCAAACACGCCCCTTGCCTCCCCTCGAAATGACGGCTGGAGTTTGCTGTTCTGTGCGGCAGTTGGACCAACGCTGCCGGAGAAGCCACCAACCTCCAAATCAGCTGCCAAAGCGGGCTTATTTCTGGCGTGTTTCTTTGAACTGCTTCTCTCCTCTGCCACCAACTGGACCTCTGCCCTCCCAACGGCCATTGTCACCACTTGTCACTGGCTGCCACGGCTCTGCCGATGTCTGCGTCTCAACGTCAGACGCCCCGCCTGCGTGCAGCTTGCGTGGCTCGTCAACCCCGCAAGTTGTAAAGCTATCGGCTGACCTTTCCCCGTGAGCTCGTTGCTCACACGAGCGCTTGGGAATAAACAGCGCACACCCTTTGTTTTCCCCCCAGGACAATTGATGCAGGCGCGGATGCCTTCTTTGGCTTGTCCATGCGCCATTTTATTGACATGCGCACTTGACCAGGATTTTGAAGCTCGCGGGAAGGGATGAAGGAAGCTCTTTGCCCTTTGTCCACACCGCATCATGCATTTCCTGGCGGCTCGCGAGGTTCAGTCTCACGCCCCTTTGCCTTACGGCGGTCCACCTCAAAACCTGCTTGTCTAGTTTGTGCGCGCCGACCGTAATCAGATATGAACTGATCTGCGGAATGCAACTGTGCAAGCTTGTCGTTCCTCGACACGTGCGCCCGCACATGCGCTGCCTGCTCACAACATGAATCCCGCTGCATGCGGTGCATTTGTCACTATTTTGGTGGGACGCCTGCACCTTCTGCATACACACCCTGCGGCACCGCACACTCACTTGCATACAAACGTGATTAAATCCGAGCACTGCCGCTTGCTTGCCAGGCTTTGCGTTGCCTGCTCGCATATGTGCGCCACTGCACAGCCGCCCCTTCTCTTCTGAAACCATCACCCTGAAATCTGCTTCGTAGGACCTGCTTGCAAAGAGAAGCACTGGCTCCAAACTGTGGAGGCCATCTGCTTCTCATCATTTGCATATTGCCCATTCGAAGTGTGCACGTGCGATGCCGCGCGTCCCGATGCGTGAGCTGAAGCGCTGTTGCTTTGCAGCACTCGGATTGTGCACGCATGAAGGACATGCCTGAGTTCCTGCCTATGAGCTGGCGTGTCCAGGGTAAATCTCTCTGCTGAGTTGGTTTCATGTGGCGTATTCAGTGCGGGCAGGTTGTTGCTGGGTTGGTGCACGCATTATGGCGCAAGCTTGCCCTCACGAGAGCGGCGGTGCAGGGAGACGCCAGCCAGTGGTTGAAGGGCGTCGGCGTGAGCGCAATGGCATTTCAAGTGGCTGGGGGATGGGGGGCCAGCCGTCTCAGCACCGCCTGCATGCATTGCATTCACCGGCATGCATCAAGGCTCGGCGGTTTGCTCGCCCCACCCGGGCGTGAACACACACACGTCTTGCAGCAGGGGCAGCACAATCAGCTGTCACTCCAAGGCTCGAGGTCCAGGGAAGCCCAAGGTTTAAGTTGAAGCTTTTGGATGCAATCCTTAGGCATCATCAAGGTTTCAGGCTTTCCTTCAACGGTCTTTGCGACAGCTTCATAAATGACACCTAGGGATATCATCCAAGTTGTAGTGGCAGCTTATGGGTGCAGGGTTGACGCTTTGCCTCAGCGCATACAGCGATGCAGCTTGCGGTCAGCCATGCGATGCGCATGACCTACACCCGCCTGCCTAAAATGGCGCGTTGCACCAGTTCGTGTGCCCCCTCCTGGTCCATTCGCTGTAGGTTGCCGGCTGAATTCATCAAGCCGCGATATCACCATGTTTTGATTTGAGATGGTGCTGCCAAAAGGTTCCCAAATCACCTAGGCGCTATAATCAATCCCCTTGGATTATAGAAGGCAAGTGCCGTCTCACTGCATCCCGCACCCGCCGCCTCCGCCCTCTGCCATAAAGGGCGTCACCTGTGCTCACAGAGGCGGGGGTTCTCCCTTGTCCAAAGGGTGTTCTTGTCGCCGCTGGCAAAGCTAAAACCTGTGTAGTGCAGTGTCATGTTGTCAACGTTATGCAGTATGTAAATGCTCAAAGCTCGTGGTGAAGGGATTCTAGGCCGAGCCAACGGCTGGCCAGCCATTGGTGGTGATGAACCCTGGCTGACCCCGGACCCAATACAAAGAAACCGAGGGCACCCACAGACCCTTCTAGAATCCATTCGCCAGCACACACCTGCAACAGCACAGAAAGAGGCCGCAGCAGCTGTGCAAAGTATTGTGATGTGTTGTATGGTAAGGTAATGCGTCTGCACTGAGGGTTTCCAGTCCGCGCTTGCAACTGTATGAGTAGTATAAAGTAGTAACTACGGAACCAAGCAGCGCCCACGTTCCGCTGGTCAAAGTGGCTGCACTTCGGGTATTCTGTGTGATCACAGGTGCTTGAAGGCCATGGAGGGCTTGTTTGTGGCGCGTCGGGCCGCCAAGGAGGCAAACAGCTATGCAGCAGTCGGGGGCCGACCACTGCAGGGCGCACGAGCCATTTCGCACCCCAGCAACACACGCACCACTCCTCGAGTAAAGGCAGGATCTCGAAAAAGCAAAATGTTACACCACACCATCATAACCAGCATATTGAAAGCCGTCGTGCGTGGTTACAGACTGTGACCGGATCTCTACAGTATCACTACGTCGCTTGTGGGGGCTCCGATAGTGATATCAGAATCAAGGACGTGCGTTGATCTGCCTATTCACGCACGCCAGCACCGGCTGCTGTGGTACGCCGCTTGCCAGTGGCCAAGTGCGCGACCTTCTTCTTGGCATGGGTTACACCGCCGCTGACGTACCTAACACCCAGGGCGTGATGAGGAAACCATTCACCCAGAAGTCCGCATACCCGCTACTGTTGGCGGCAGCGGTGGCCGCAGCGCTCCTGGCGAGTGCGTCTTGTGCTGCGCCGGGCAGCGGGACCGTGACGCCCTCCGTGGTCGGCGGCAAGACCGCCCCGCAGAACAGGTGCGCCCCCATACCACACGTCCTTGTTGCATTCAGCCGTGTGCAAGCAGCGGGCCATCGAAGCCATGGGGTGTCCAGCTTGCTGGAAATGGCGGACTCCGGTGAAAAGCGCCAGCATGAGCAGCGCACTGCCGCGCTCCCGCCAACCAGCCTGGCAGCGGCGGCCAGGTCATGCTATGCCTCCTTCGACTGATGCGGCTCAGAGCAGCGGAAGCCAGGCCATCGCACCTATGGCATCAAAAACAGCAGCCAGCCCGACCTGACCCCTGGCATGCCCGCGCACTTTACTGCGGGCACGCTGCCCGCTCTCAGGTCATGCCGCCCCCTCCCCCCCAAAAAAACGCGCTCTCAACCGCCCCGCTGCAGGTTCAAGTATCAGCTGGGGATTATGGAGGGCAAGTTTGGCGTGTGCGGCGCGACCCTCATTCGCGAGGACGTCGGGCTCACTGCAGCGCACGTGAGCGGGCGGGTCGCGCATGGCATCTCCCTCCCTCCGCTTGTGACAAGCAGCAGGCGGAGCGCAGCCACCCCTGATTTTCGGCCTCGATCAGATGGGTCTGCCCTCATGCTCGCAGGTATTTCCTGTGCACGCCTGCTTTGATCGGCGCGGGCGGTAGCCACTTGGATCTCAATCACACAACGTTGATGCTTGAAAGTCCAATCCAGAGAGCCTGGATGGCTCCAGAAGCGGGCGACCACGACACGCTCAATCAATCCTACCGCTATCACCGATCATGTCACGCAGTGCGGCGTGAAAAGCTCAAAGAAGTTCGCAGTTTACGCCGGTGAGCGGGTGTGGGTATAGTGTGCACAGAGAGGGGGGAGGGAGGGGGGGAACCGGTCCGAGGCGCAGTCCGGCCGAGGTTGCCTGCGTGCGCCTCTGGCCCAGTCTGGCGGCATTCCAGCAGTGGACCGGCGAAACAACAAGCCAGCGCCCCCCCACGTGGCTCGGAGCGCGTCTTCTCGCGTCGCCCGCCCCGCACATGGCCGGATCTCGAAAGCGCCCCCACTCCCGCAAGCGCTTACTCCCCCTATGCTCCACGGCTGCCAGGCGCCTGGACGGCCTACGACGCGCCCGACACGGAGGGCGTCCCCTACTCCCTGTCCAAGGTTTTCACCCATCCCGACTACCAAGACGATACCAACGACATCGCTCTCATGTTTTTCACCAGATGCGCGGTGCCCGCCACACCGGCGGCCCAAGTCGTGAAACTGGCGACGCCCGCAGGTGCGCGGCGGCCGGGCGCGGCGCGGGGCGCGCGCCGGCTGCGGGCGGCCCGGGCCCCGCCTGCACCCTGGGGTGGGCGGAAGGCTGGCGCACGGCCCAGCGTCAGACTGGTAGCTGCCCGGCGTGCTTTGAAAGATCGCTCATCCACCTCCCTTGCCTGCCTTGTCCACCTCAGAGCTCGCCAGCGCCTCGGCTTCGACGTGGATGGTATCTGGCTGGTGGGCCGCGGCCGCTGACACGCATGGATCTCGCCTCATCTGCAGCGCGGCCCGTGACGCCGGAAGGGGGGCCAGCGCGACAAAGGGAAAGCAGCACCTGCAGCCCCCCCCCCTCCCTGCCTCGCGGCCTGCCTGCCCCGCGTCCTTCTCGTCACTGGAGGCACCCTCCCCCCCTCCCGGCCCCGCGTCCCGACCTGTGC